GCCACAAAGTCTATCCATAGTCTGCAAACACTCAGGTGCCCCGAGTCCCCGCACGCCACCGCAGCTGGAACACCACCTCCCACCGCTGTCAGATACCAGGGCCCAGCCATGGAGCCGTGTCACTGCTGCTGGAACCATTCGTCAGTGCTACCTTGCCTCCACCAACGTTGTCACCACCATGAGTCTACACTGGACAAATCTCAGCAATGCAGCCACCGCTGAAGTTGCCAGGTCCCGAACTGGGCTCAGACTCTTTGCCGGACCCACCATGCTGAAGCAGCCGGCGCCTTGTTCTAGATTACGTTGCTGCCACTGCCACCTCCTAGGATCACCGTTTCAGCAAAGAAATCTGCGGCTGCCATCATTCCAGGCAGGAACCATTCCCTCTGCTGTCGAAACTCCAGGAAGCAACCGTTCCCACAGTTGCCGTCGCCCGATTACGGTTGACCGCACTAAAGTTCAGGCTGTCCTTCATGCTTCCAAGGTTCCTGCTTCTTGCTACTGATGTTCGTTCTGAGTGTGAGTAAATAGATCTTAATTAAAGTTAGGTATCCGTATCATGTTATCATCTTTTATTGTTATCATTTATTTATATTATGTGTATTTCTAGTGAATAATAATGTATGTGAATGAATTTCCATACTGGAATAACCTTTCTGATAAAATGGCCAATCAAGGCAGTGAAAGGTGATCAAGGGGGAAGAGTCCTGCCCATGGCTCTGGATGCCAATGGGAAGGATGTCTGCACTTACAGGAATGACCTGGTATGGCCTTTCCATCTCCCAAGGAACGGCACCACACGAGATGATTAGAAATGGAATGGAAGGGGCAGTGTAAAGGGGAGGGGATTCTGGGAGGTGAGGCCTCTGAAAATGAGGAGACAAAACTAGCACATTTAAGCAATTTAGAGAAACCTATTGGGATATTGGGATAAATAGTGAAAAACTTGGATTGTCTTGGCAAAATCAGCATGTCTGGTTTCCCAAGGGAGAAAGCCATGATGGAACTGAAACACACCAATGACAATCTTAAATTTGAGCTATTTTTAGATAAGCAACCAATGTAAGTTAGGGAACATGAGAGTAAAGCAACTATCTTTCCTCCTGAACCATTCCCAGTGGCAGAGTGATCAATCAGTATTCTGCTAGAGACTGGAAAAATCCCTCTGCTTGCCTCACCAGTTTAAGAGCGATCTTCAAAATTGACGTGTGATTGAGATTTTGGCTGTTCTTAGCTGCTATTAGGCACAAATCAACCTGTAACATTTTGGGAGTCAGAAGATGAGTTATTTGCTGAAGAGTTCCAATTCTTTAATGTTCTTGTACCTATTTATGTGGTCTAGTTAAGTTTCTGGTTAATGGTAACCTGAGAATGGTGCCAATAGGGATTCAGTGATGGTAATGTCATTGATTGTCAAGGGAGATGGTTAGGTCTTCTTTTGCTGAGATAGTTATTGCCTGGCACTTTTTTCATGCTGCTACTTATCAGCCCAAGCCTAAACATTGTATTGCTGCAGATGGGCACATAATTCTTTCAGTACCTGAAAAGTTCTGATTAAAACTGAGTAGTGCAATCGCCACTGAATATCCCCACTACTCTCTTGGATGGAAGGTTACTGTTGAAAGCCTGAAGGTGATTCTCCATAAGACACTACCCCAAAGAACTACTACAGTGATGTCCTGGAACTGAAATGATTGCCTCAAACAAACACAATTATCTTGTCTGTTGTAGGGGTGACTTAGTTGGCTCGGGATGAAGTGTGCAGGGATGGGGTGGTGTTCATCACTAATCAAAATTGAAAATTTAACTGAACTAGCCATATGAACAAGAGGAGGCCAGAGACTGGATACTGCTCACTTGCTGCCCTCAGTGCCTTCCCATGATTTATAACGTTCAATTTAATATTGTGATTGATTGCACGTAATTTACTTGGATTGATGCAGTCACAAACATTCAACAATTTCAATTTCAGTGAAGACAAGGCAACTTTCCCAATAAAAACCAAAAGAACTGCAGATGCTGTAAATCAGGAACAAAAACAAAGTTGCTGGAAAAGCTCAGCAGATCTGGCAGCATCAGTGGAGGAGAAAACACAGTTAACGTTTCGGGTCCGGTGACCCTTCCTCAGAACTGATGGTGGCTGGGAAAACGACGTTTATAAACTGATGTTTTCCCAGCCACCATCAGTTTTGAGGAAGTGTCACCGGACCCGAAACGTTAACTCTGTTTTCTCCTCCACAGATGCTGCCAGACCTGCTGAACTTTCCCAATAGGTCACATAGCATGCTGACTTGGATACATATAAGCTCTCTTTCATTGCCACTGAATTGTTATTCTGGAAATCCTTGCCTAGTCATGGTGAAAACACCATTACCACAAAGAATGCACTTTTTCAAAAGATAGGTCCATGACTAAATTCTCAGGAAAACTATGGATCTAAAATAAATGCGGCTTTTCCAGTATTATGGACCAAACAAGATCAAGAGAAAATTGTCCACTGCAGACTCAGTTTCTCCAACAATGCTCCGGACCATTCTATCTGGATAAAGTCCAACTAATCTGCACACATTTTATCCTGGATAAAGCCAGCAAAAACTTTCAGACTGCACATGATTGTTCTTGAATATTCTCTCACAGTTGCTTGCAGAGCAGTTATGTTTTGCCTGTGTAATATTTGAGTATCTTCTACAATGATGCCAAACTGCATTGATCTGAAGCTACCGACACTTGTGCTACAAATATCTCAATAGCAACCATGGCACAGTTAGTATTGTGTTTACTTCTCAGAAGATCGTTCAAGCCCCATAGCCGGGTAACAATCGATATTTCAGAGCAGTACTGAAGGAACATATTGAATTTCTAGTAATGTTGAGAATTTATTTTCTAGTAATGTTAGTTCAGTTGAGAAGTTAAACCTAGGGCCTGACTGCCCTGTCAGATGGATACAAAAGATCCCATGGCACTATTTTGAAGAAAAGTACAGGAGTTAGCCTTGGTGTTCTGACCAATATTTATTTATCTATCAAACAACATCACCAAAACAGATTATTATGTTCTTACTACATTGCAGTTTATGCAAGTGCTTTGTACTTGAACTAACTGCCACATTCCCTCTCTTACAATTGTGAGTATGTGTCACAAGTATTTAATTGTAAAGCACTTTCAGACATCCATAAGATGAAGGTCTTTCCTACCTCAGGTCTTCTGCACAAACATTTCAACACATGAAAACAATCTGAAATATCCTATGTGACTTTCGCTATGATGAACTATTCCTCCTCATACTTGTCAATCTGTTCGCATTCTTTGACATAATTGATTACACTATCTTTCTCCAGCATCTCTCCTCTGTTGTCTAGATGGACAGGACTACCTTCACCTGGTTCAATTTCTATCTATCCAATTGTAGATATGAACTCTTCAATGATTTCTATACCAGCATTATTACCGTTAGAATCCCCAAAGGATCAATCTTTGGCTCTGCCTATTTTTTCCTCCGAAGGTTTCCCCTCACCTGAAAACATGACAGGTTCCACATTTGCACAACCCTTCTCCCAAATTCACTGCCTTGAAATGCTACTTGACTTTTCTGATGCTCAAATGAGCAGAAATTTTCTCCATTTAAACTGGTATTCCTCCTGACCTTGCCTTGCCTTATCGGTTGCTGAAACCCTAACCATATCTTTCATATTCTAGTCTTGCCTATTCTGATGCTTTCTAACCTGGCCTCCCACGGCCACCATGTGTGAACATCAACCAACTCAAAAATCTGCAACTGGTGGCCTAGCTTGCATCATGTTCTATTCACCATCACCGCCTATTCTCAACGACCTACACTGGCTCCCAGAACGTTCCTCAGAACTTTCTGAGGAAGGGTCACCAGACCTGAAACGTTAACTCCGATTTTTCTTCACAGATGCTGCCAGACCTGTTGAGCTTTTCCAGCAATTTCTGTTTTTGTTCCTGATTTACAGCATCCGCAGTTCTTTCGGTTTTTACTCCCCAACTCTTACCTAGCTGCCGCCTTTCAAACCCCTGCCCACCTCCAAATCCAACTCCTGATTCTTTTTGTGAAACCATTAAGGGCTTGTATTTAGTTGCCACGACCTCCATCTGCCAAATTGTCTTTGCAAAACTCTCTTCCTCTTTTCCTGTAATGTGCTCCTTTAAAACATGATCTGTTTTAGCAAAGCTTTTGGAATCCTTATCTGATATTTCTTTGTTAGATTTTGTCTGATGACGCTACTGTATTCTGGACATTTTAAGTAAATCAAAGGTGCTACCTACATGTAGTTATTTTACAGACTCACATGTCCTTTTCAATCTTAGTTTGTTTGCTGCTTCAACTATCTATAGCGCCCAACAATTTTAAGTCAGTTGCCTTATATTTTGCAACTTTACAATCTCGACTTTTAAAAAAATTGTCGGCCGACAAAAATGTGACTTTTCCACCATCTCAACTTGTTGATAACCTTTTACCATCCACCTTAGCCAGTTTTCTGCTGAACTGGCTCACCTAGTGTAAAGTCCTGGTGCTTTTTCTTTATAATTTGAATACAGTACTGGCAGATGTTTTATATATCTTGATTTATCAATCTGCCCGCTTCCACGATAAGCCCCATTTCACCAGCTGGAAAGGAAATTGCTTGCTTCTGTTTTTTTTCTATCGATAAGCTAAATAAATGCATCCTCGAAAACCTTTACTGTTGATATTTACTCATCAGGGACAAAACTTTAGATGATTTAAAAATATATTCAAACTGCTCTAAAGTTGCACTAACTACACCTCTGCAGTTGCGGTCCTACGATCTTATTGGTTTGTGCTGTTCACTTGCCATATAGGGGAGGGTGCGCCACTCACACACGGCTGGGGAGCGGCGACGTGGGTGGGAAGGGGTATGATTGATGGGACGCTCAGCCACTCGTGAGCCGGATTGCCATCCATGCGAGAGCATTTGTGGTCGCTGGCAGCCAATCAGCGCGCGCCTGATGGGGAGGGCGGGCCTTCGCTCTCCTGAGTCGGGACTTCCCCCCGCCCCCCAAGCTGCGCTGAAGCTGCTTGTCTGTGCATGGGTGGGAACTTGCCAGGTTAAATTCGTTGCAGATATTTTCGCCTCCTTTGCTTTTTATTTGTTTTTTTTCCCCCTTCTACTTCTTTTGTCGGAGGTGTTGTTGACGTTGAGAGAAGCCATGGTTATCAAGGTCTTTATAGCAAGCCAGTCCGGTTCCACCGCGGTAAGTGAGACTTATTTTAAGTTTTTTTTTCCTCTTGTCTCTCTCCATTCACTGGAGGAGCAGCGTTTATTTTTATCTCCAGCACAGCTGATAACACATACCAGACCCAGACCAGCAATCAGTCAAACCCAGGCACTTCCCCACGCAGATGGTGCACAGCGAATCTTCCAGAACCTAAAGCTACATTTTTACTTTCTCATACTTCCGACGAAATATTCAACTAAACGATACTGCATTAACTTATAAATTTTCTTTCATTTAGAAGGCATTGCGTTTACTTCAAGACGGCGTGTTGTAACAAGGCGAGAACTGTCTACAATCCGTTTCAGGGAACAGCTCTAGGCTTCCACGATGCATAAGACAATGGGTGACTGAGCTGTACAAGGTTTCGCAATGTGTCATTGATCTCTGAATTGGTTGACCTCAGCACAGTTGATTCTGCGGGTGTTGCAAAAACTTTCAGTATTCCAGGGTTAGGGAGGAAAATCTCGTCTTTAGCGGGTCCTTATCCAGTGATCATTTTTGGCAGTGTATCTGTGTAACCGTGCCGAGTTATTTGATCTCAGCTCAAGTGATGTTACAGGGGAGAATGATGGCTTGGTTCAGGCAGAGTTTCTGTGCCCAATGATCACCTGTTAACCCACTCTGAAAATGTATATTCGAAGAGCTGGCTGTGGTAAGTTGGCTCGACAACTTGCACTGATCGTATTAATACACAGTGGCATTGGTAAATCATAGGATCATAGAATCCCTACAGTGCGGAAACAGGCCATTCGGCCCAACAAGTCCACACCGCCCTTCCGAAAAGCATCCCACCCAGACTCATTCCCCCCACCCCTGATTTCCCATGTCTAACCCACCTAACCTAAACATCCCTGGGCACTATGAAAAATTTGGCAGGCCAATCCACATCTTTGAACTGTGGGAGGAAACTGGAGCACCCGGAGGAAACCCATGCAGACATGGGGAGAATGTGCAAACTCCACACAGACGGTTGCCTGAGGCTGGAATCGAACGCGGGTCCCTGTGCTAACCACTGAGCCACCGTGCTGCCCCGTGCCTTGTATTCCATCAAGCAGGGAATAGTTTCAGAAGAGGAGGGAAAAATTGAGGTAAAACATAATTTTTAAAGCATTTTTTCATCTGTAAAATATCACTTGCGTCAAGCTTTTTCGGTTAATGGCATAAAGAACAGAATCCTTAAGTGAAGGATAAAGGATAAAACTCTTTTGCTGCTTGGATTCAACAGGATATGAAACTTCTTCTAAATTGCACAAGAAATTGCACTTGAACTTTTAAAGTCTTGGCTATGAAAGTGATCAGAAGGTGCCCAGCCTAAAAACTACATGACATCTGGTTATTGGGTTTGAGAGCAAGTTTGGGAAATTTGAAATAAACACAGAAAATGTTGTATAAACTCAGCTGGTCTGCAGCATCTATGGGGAGAACGCAGAGTTCATGTTTTGTGACTGATGACTCTTCAGGTTCTGATGAGAAACTGGACTCAAAATGTTAACGCTGCTTTCCCCCCCCATAGTTAATGCCAGGCCTGCTGAAGTTCACCAGCAATTTGTTTTTGTTTCAGATCTCCAGTTTTTTGTATTTAATTTCTAAAATAAAACAGTCCAGTCCTCTAGTTTCTCATCAGAACTCAGAGTTGCCAGTCGCAAAACGTGAACTCTGCTTTCTCCCTACAGATGCTGCCAGACTAGCTGGGTTTCTCCAACAATTTCTGCCTTCGTTTCAGATTTCTAGCATGTGCAGTTCTTTGTTTTATACTAAACTGTGGATATCACTGGCTGGGTCAGCATTTATTGTCCATCCCCAATTGACAGTGAAGAGTTAATTACAATGCTGTGGGCCTGCAGTCATTTGTAGGCAAAACCAGCTAAGGATGACAGAATTACTTGCTTAAAGAATAGTGGAAGCCTTTATAAGTCTTTCTGCAAGTTAATAATTTTTCCTAAGTTTGAAAGTGTAGCAACATGAGGACTCAAATTTGAATTCCTGATCCAAGACTTTGTGACTTCCAGACTTGATCTTGTTTGGCCTATCACTTTACGCCGTCCAAATAACAATGACTGCATTTTAAGATAGTTTACAGCCAATGAAACTATGTTGGTATATCCTGAGATCAGGAAAGTCTCTGTTTACTGACTATCATCTACCTTACACTAAGTCCCAATCACACTGTTCTCTGGCCTATTTTGGCTCCCAAATCCATCCCCAATTTTCACTGCTGTTTCAGTATAAGCCATAAATTCATCAGCTAATGCCTCAACCTATGATTCTCTCATTAAATACCTCCACCTCTCCCTCCACCTTACCTTCGGTCATTACTTCTATCTCTTTAACCATGTTCCTATCCTCATAATTTCTTTTGTGGCACAGTGTTGTAATTTCTTTAGAAGCCAATCCATGAAGTGTGATGGAATGGCTCACCATGTTAAAGATGTTATATACAATACAAACTGTTGCTGTAAGATTATGCTGTTTGTGGATTTTTATGGCAAATGGTGAAATTGGAATTTCAAAAAACTCTGGTTTAAAATCTAGCCTACTGTAGATCGTGCAACTACTAACAATTCTGACCCTTTCATGATCTCAGGATGTACCAACATAGTTTATAGCCAATGAAATAATCTGAAAATGCAGTCACTGCTGTTTTGATTATGTAAAGTAAGAGGCCAATCAAGATCAAGTCGGGAAGTCACATAGTCTTGGGTCAGGAATTCAAATTGAAGCCCCCACTTTGCTACACTTTCAAATTAAGGAGAAATTATTAACTTGAAAAAAGGCTTTATAAGTCTTTCATTTTTTTAGCACTGGTCACAACCATTGGCTGTAAAGCACTTTAAGACATCCTATGAGGTACTTCTGAAGTGTTGTCATTGTTGTAACATTGAAATGTGGCAGCAAATTTGCACTACAAAGCACCATTAAACTGGAATATGGCCATGACCAGATAATGTTTTTCTTAATGAAGTTGATTGAAGGAGGGGAAAGAAAACGCATAATGTTTAAGTTACTAGGAAACAGTTTTTACAAGCATTAATCTTCTCCATAAAGTATTTTTGGGAAGGGAATAAGGAGGATAGTGTTCCTCCATTTTGTACTCCAACTGTCAAACACTCAAATTTAGATGTTGCATGCAAATACAAGACTCAATTGCTGCTTTCTGACTACTTTTATGATATATTTTCAATGCAATTTATGCAATGTATTTGTTCACATTGGTGTTCCAATTATTAAAACAAGACAATGCTATAATAAGCATCAGCTCTTCCCTAAAACAAGCCTCCTGTAATCTCATGATTTCTTGAGGGAAGTGTGATCATTGGTATTGAATTTTGCAAAAGGGACCCAATAATCTGTCATATCTGTATCTATTTTATGAAATAACTATTGCTGAGGCAGGAATGATGAGCCTGTTTACATGTTTAAAAGTATATCCTTTGGCTTTCCTATTATGTTGATTTTTCACTCTTGAGATCTATTTTCTCTTAGATAAAGATAACCTGAATAAAATGACTTGCAGGCTGTTATAGTTTCGGAAGATGATTTACCACTATCTGCTTAAGGATGACTTGCATTAAGTTATACATGTAGTTTCTGGTGTCCGTGAATGCGGAGGGAGAAATAAATTGGTTTTAAAAATGTACTTTGTGTGTATTGGGGGAATGGGGTTAGAGAGAAGAGAGATGTAATTAACTAACAGTTTTTTGTTTATATCTTCAATTCAAACTGCAGTCCATAATTAGGCTCATTGTAATATTGTAATGTGATTGCAGAACAACAGAATTATTTCAGCACGGAGAAGGCTGTTTGGCCCACTAAGTGTACACCAATTCTCCAAATAAGTATTTCACACAATGCCAATCGCTTTCCTTCTCCCTGTAACCCTACACATCAAGTAAGTCTAATTGACTTTTCAGTAGCGTCAGAGTCATACAGCAAAGAAACAGACCCTTCAGTCCAAACAGTCCATGCCGAACATGATCCCAAGCTAAACTAGTCCCACCTGCCTGCTCCTGGCCCATATCCCTCCAAACCTTTCCTATTCATGTATGTGGCCAAATGTCTTTTAAATGTTGTAATTGTTCCCACGTCCACCACTTGTTCAAGAAGTTCATTCCACAGGTACCACCCTCTGTGTAAAAACTCCTGTACTCAAAGGATTGAGCATTGAAGGCAAGTGTGCCAAATTCCTTTTTAACTGTATGTGATGCAAGCTTCAAAGAATTATGTACCTGCATTCTAGGCCCCTCTGTTCTACAACGCTACCCAAGGCCCTACCATTAATTGTATAAGTCCAACTCTTTTTTTTGTCCTACCAAAATGCAATACCTCACAATTATCTAGATTGAACTCCACCTGCCATTTTTCAGCCCATTGACCCATTTTGTGCCCATCTCTTTCATCCACAAAGACACAAAGTAAAAGTTGATCTGTTTCAAAAGTTGATCAAAAATCAGTTGTTGTAAGATTTAAAAAAAAATTAGTATACTTCATTCAGTGAATTTATGGTTAAACTCATCACATGATCTACCTAGCACTGCTTCATAGACCAGGAAGTTCCGAGGTTTATTAGCTATTAAATTAGGTGTTTTAATAGCAGAGGTTTGTTTTGATCTTAGGACCCTGAGCCAGGGAGCAGGAAATGATCTGCCATTGTTCCTATATCCACTTCCTGTTCAGAGGTCTCTGTGAAAAGTATTCACTTAAACGTTGAGAGAAAGCAGAACCAGGTTTATCTTTATAAGTCTAGTTTATGGATACTTTATCTGTTCTCAGTGGTTACTGTGTAATGCTGTTTAATGAGATGGAATGGAAACTTAGTTAGAGACAAATAAAAACCTGCAGATGCAGGAATCCAAGGTAGACAAACAGGAGGCTGGGGGAACACAGCTGGCCAAGCAGCATCTGGAGGAAAGGAGCAGTCAACGTTTCGGGTATTGCCCTTCTGCAGGACTGGATCAGAATTTCTGAAGAAGGGTCCC